CGCCTCGTAAAGCTGAAATATCCGACTGTAAGCACACATTTGGAAAGAAACAGAGGGGGTCACAGCTCAGCCATTTCATTCTGTTAATTGTAACAGACGAATCTCATCTGCACAATTACTGCCTTCGAGAGGAAAATGCACATGAGACCGCAATGAGATTTATCCCGTGGGCATTAAGTAATTCCAGGCAACAGTATTTCCTGAGAAAATAGTGACAGTCGGTCGTCGGGCGTACCCCTTACCTTCCACCCAGAGCTGGTCGACGCGTGTGTGGACCTTCGCCGATTTGAGGCCGACGCAGAAGGTCGCTAACACCAGGACGCCTACGAACAGCACCTTGCCAGCGTGGCGGTGCAGGAAGCAGCCCAGTTGGAACAACTGGCTCTGGAGACGCGCCCTCAGCCACAGCGCCGCTCGCTCGCCGGTAGCTTTGCCCTGCAACAAGATGGCGACCCTGAAGAAAGAGGCAGCACGTTCGAAATCCAAAGTTGGCTTATCTGACTGAAGTATGCGCACGCATTTCTCTTGCACTACAAAAATTACTGCGAGCAAATATTAATTTATTACGACCATGAAATAAAACATGTATTTACATTCATTCTCGTGTTCGACCATCCTCGAGGGTCACACTACTCGCAGAAGTTATTAAATATTTTACATGCTTGTAAGTGCTTCTCTACAGATTCAACATCATTCACAATCATCTTGTCTAATTTTGTTAAATGAAAATTAGTTCAAACAGTGGCATCAGGTTTTTTTTCAGTGTTCTGTCTGACGACAGGTCCATATGAACAGGATCCTTCCATCCTTTTCTCGAACTGGGACCTGTTCATATACGTTCTTGGCAGATGATCCAGAAGTGGTTTGCCATTGCCTTCTTCTGTGTGTGAATGGAGTAATTGTTGGGATGCCACGGAGAAACCGGGGAAGCCCCCGGAGGAAAACTCCGTGCTGCCTAGACCACGGCCTTGCCCAACACAAGTTATAAATTCGGGGACCGCTGGGAATCGAACCCGAGACCCCAGGATTACTAGGCCAGCGTTATAACCGCTAGACCACCGTGGCGGGGCATCAGGTAACAAACATAAATATTTAATAAATAATTTTTGCAGTTAATACCTAAAATCTATAAAATGTTAACTGAGGCTCTCAAGCCAACAGGGTGGAGTGCTTAATGTACAACGTGATTTGCATGAAGTGCAGATGAGGTGACTACGAAATGCATTCGATTGGACAAAGTTCTGTGGCGAAATGTGAACACGGCAATGACTCCAGAAAAGCAAGGAATTTCTCGCCGACGTGAAAACTCGTCACAACACTACCAGCCACGCCCCCTCTCTCGGCACACGGCGCGCACGCGGACAGAGGTACCTGATCTGCGTTCCGTATTAAGAAGCTTCATTCCAAACCTTGCCAGGAATTACGGGTACAAATGTTGGTCTTAACACAGCAAACCCTCGTAGCTGTGCAGCGCATCACAAAGACGGCAAACAGCCTACAAAATTTATTCTGTAACGAAATACTCGAAGTTTCCACGTCCGTTCTTTGAAATTGTTTACTTCTAAATGCGTTTGGTTCTAGGAAACAGATTTGTCGAAAGCACCAAAAGTTGCAAATGTGGGCCCTAACTACTGTAATTGATCTTATCCTAACCTTCACGAAATCCACATAAACTAAACCTAACCTAACCTACATGAAGCGAACATTACACATGTTTATCCAACCCCACCCTACTTAAACAACCTTAAATTAAAAGTTTCTAACAAATGACAAACGTCAAAATTTTAAAAAAAAATTGAACATTTGAAACACTCAACATTTTAAAAATATCAAACATTTTCAAAATCTCGAAATAAACAGTTTATAAAATCGCCAATCCCGTATTCAAATATCCAACATTCGTAACTAAACTGTTAATTTTCTGAACCGAAACTAAACAAACCAAACGTAACCTAAACTAACCTGACATAACCTTCTATAACACAACGTGACTCAACAAAACCTTCTCCATTTCCATCAATACGAACCACAATTACCAACCATGATTTCCACGGTAAACCACTGTTTTTATTTTATTTAGTGTTCTGTCTGACGACAGGTCCATATGAACGGGATCCTTCCATCCTTTTCTCGGACTGGGACCTGTTCATATACGTTTTTGGCAGATGATCCAGAAGTGGTTTGCCGTTGCCTTCTTCTGTGTGTGAATGGAGTAATTGTTGGGATGCCACGGAGAAACCGGGGAAGCCCCCGGAGGAAAACTCCGTGTTGCCTAGACCACGGCCTTGCCCAACACAAGTTATAAATTCGGGCACCGCCGGGAATCGAACCCGAGACCCCAGGATTACAAGGCCAGCGTTCTAACCGCTAGACCACCGTGCAAATAAATTCAAGTGTCGATAGTTCCGACTACGACCACCAGAGTGCAGCACCTCAGTGGTAACTGTAATAATAAAGACGTCTTTGTCAGGAATATTCCAGCCAGCACTTAACTCCAGCTCAGGATTAAATGGCGTACGCGCCCAGGAAACGAGAGAATTGTCACGGATGCACGTAGCTCGAAGGCACGAGAACGTTACGCAAGTAAGCAAGCAAGAAGCTGCTGACTCGCGGCGTATTTGCATAACAAAACAAACAGAAACTGCGAATGTCTCACGCGCTCCGCCGAAGGATATGCCGTAAGTAGGCTAACGTACGACGCCAGAGCTCAGTTGCCATGGCAATGGCTCCAGAACTGGAGGAACTACTGCGTCGTGTGTCAATAAATGCAAATTAAGATAGTGTAATTGCGTCATATTGTGAATATTATAACAATTATTTATTTTAATCCGTCTGATCACAATATTTAAAATTTCTTATATTTAAGATAATAATGAGTTTTAAGTTCTTAGATATATTTTACACCTGATGATGGTTTTATAAAAACCGAAACATGTTGTGTAAATGTTCCGAAATGTAAATCGATCAATCGATATGGAGCATCAATGATATTTTATTATCTTAAATATAAGAAATTTTAAATATCGTGATAAGACGGATTAAAATAAATAAATGCAGATTAGCTTCTTGCGAGTTAACACAACCCGTGAGCATGACGCAGTAATAAGAGGCCAATGCGAATACGAGTCATGGATTGTCAGGAGTCGATGTTTACAAAATGCTGGAAGCCTACCAAGGAATAAGCAATGCTTTATTTTTTCCGTCACGTGATAATCCCACAAACATGTTCCTCAGGATCTACCTGCCTCGCAATCAAGAAACAGGCGCACAGTGAGAGAAGCACCGCGCAAATATTCTCATCTCGCTATATAAATTATCGAAACGCCAAACTAATGGATGTGGGAGTGAGGGAGGGGTGGGTCCTGTCAGTCATTCACAATTATTCCATCCTTTATACATTTAACAAGCGGAATTTAAAAAATAAATTTTTAAATCGCCCATAATCTTAGTGCAATCTCTTACTAACGACACAAAATCAAACGTCGGGATCTCGTGGTTAGCATTCCGGCTTCGTCTTCGGTAGGTCCTGTGTTCAAATATCGGCATGAGGACAAGCTGTTCTGGATGAAAAGTTTCGTGGTTCGCCTCACTTACTCCCTCCCTGCAGACAAATTACGTCACTACAGCTTCGATCCACATCCTTTCGAATCCATTGTCCATTAATCTTCCTAACATTCGACGCTACACTGAAGCCTGCGGTCTTCGTTGGTGACAACGTCGTTAAATAAATCACGGAACCTTCGGTTAATGGGCGAACGAGGACAGCGGGCGTCTTGACAGCCGGACGCCGTCAGGCAATTACTGTTTGCGGGGTTACTATGACAACGTCCGTGACAAAATTAATGTCGACGTGACAATGTGAACATCGTCACTAAGCGAACGTGATCCCTCTCAGACGCCGTGCTTGAAGGTCGACATCGCTGGCAATGCGATTTACATGCATTAGCAGTCAGCCTACTGCAATGCCGTGTTCCCGTCACAGTCACAGGTTTCGTCCTCTGTCCCTTTGAAGCCGAAGATCGTCTGAATATTATTTATGAATTCAGTCCGTACCGCGAAGAAAACACTACACCTCACCATTACGAAAATCAGCTGGTTAACCCTTTGAAGCCGAAGCTCGTCTTCATAATATTTACGAATCCAGAACGTACCGCGAAGAAAACACTTCACTTAACCATTAGAAGTCGAATCAGGCGGTACCACATAAGATTTAACAAAAGAACATCCCGGTTAAAGCCTTAATGAAAGTGGCGCGTGTCCTTCTGACGTCTATCGCCGTAAACGTCTTCAGAAATGTAAGACTTGAGGTTCTCACAGCGGTGAGTATGAAGATTTCTGTCTTCTGGGTTATTGCGCTGTGTAGTCTGGTCGATGTTAACCAACGTTTCAGAGGTCATACTGCCTCCGTCATCAGGCAATGCATCCTGGTTGAGAGAGTTCACGCGTCCTCGGATTTGTCACTGAAATCTCAACCCGCGGTGCGTTTAATATTGTCATTACTGCGCGTGCGTCGATGGCTGGAAGGTATACTCGCTCGCCTCTTCAAAATCTCGACGTCGTGTCCTAGTGACCGAGTTCATCGGTGCGAGCCTTCGTGAAGTCACGTGCTGCTGTTTGGGCAATGACCTAAACTTTAACGATGGCAATAAAACTGATAATTAAAATCATAAAATGAAACACGTGTTGCTTGCCGGCATCCAATCAGATTCTTCGTTTAGGACTCATAAATCCTTCCATGCGCTGTTCGTTGTTAAGGACACCGAGGGCAATTAGGTTATCTCAGCAAGAAAACGAGGTAACAAGTATTAATGTGACACGCATTACGACTTTACTGCCTAAAATTTTACTGACTCCTTTGGGAACTTAATGCGTCGGTGAACACGTGAGGATGAAACGCCAAATTTCGTCAAAATGAGTGCCCAAGGCTGACGGGGGAGAATATTCACGACTGGAACTTTGCGTTCTTGAGCAGCCAGCTGTCAGTCAGCTGATCACAGAAACCGATTCCTTTCCATGTTAGCTGCACAAAAGCCCGCCGTTCGACCGTATTCTAATCGCACTGCTTTGTTTAGAGATTGACTGAAGATTATTATTCTCCCTTCTACATCCACCTAGACCCCCACTTCCCAATTTTTCTTCTTGGGTATTCCGATCAAAATTTTGTGTACATTTCTAATTTTTCCTGCAAATGTGCACGACTAATCTGATCGCCGTACAGAGATACGGATATTTGACAAAAAATATGTCGTGGCTCTGACTGCCGTGCGAGCAATTCGTGTCTGTCTTGACCATCTGAGGGGAAGAAACCCCGAGCACCCACCTTGTCGATCTGAGCCAACGCTACGGCAGCATCTGCCCAGCTGGTCCTGATGAAGATGTCGTCGCAGTGGTTGCTGGCGCTCGGCTGCTGTGTTTTGCCGCCCGCGGGCCTCTCAGAAGACGAAACAGATGGAGCTTTTGAGCTGACAGTTGCAGCCAACATATTGGCCTGGTCCCTTGCTACTCCGCCACTGTTGCACCATTAAACTCAATACCCAAAATATCCACATTTAGACTGGTGAAGTTGGGGTTGTTATCCCCTGAAGGCGCAACGACATTCACAACGGGATGTGCTCGCAAGGTGGTCGGTCACCCTACTCTGTCGAAATATAACGCCAGACACTAAAAGATTTGTGTACACTCGCCGATATCTCAGAAACTAACAGAATTAGGCAAAGTTTTTAGCACTGAAGGATAATATACAACCCGGTCTGGCTGATCTCGAAGGTGACGTGCGTCGTACTGTGAGATTAAAGGATCAGTGCATTTGAATTTCTTATAATCTAGCAATGTCCAGGTGTTTGAACACGGCGCGTGGCGAGTTCACTCGGACACTGCCACATTTATGCACCAGAGCACAGCCACCCACCAACTCGTTCTTCGAGAAATGGTCCGAACACCAAGACAAATATCAGTTCAGATAAAGCACGACAGCAACTGGGCTCTCTCGCGCTTGAGTTTAAATCCCAGCTTTTTCAAACAGCGCGCGTCCATGGCTGGCATCTTTCCTAACGAAGAAGGTCTTGGTACGTTGGACAAGCCACGCAGGACACACGAACACACATTCACTGCACATGCGGCACATCACAAGCGCAAACTGCTTTTATCTCTCCGTTTCACCCCCACGGCACATGTTACTTCTCGAAACTTCTGAACTCGTCCGACCTCCACAGTGAACTAACGCGAACATCCTTTCTCGAACTTCCTCACCACCGATTCTTCTAAATCCCAGCCATAACTGAAAAGACACACGTCGGGCTCCCAGGCTGACGAACCCTCACGGAAACTCCCGAACGACCGAACTGCGGCATCTGATTGGTTCCTTGGCGGCACGCGTTGCTAAGCAACGGAGTCTCTTCCATCTCTTTTCCACGGCAGCTCTCACTGGACCACACACGTGGTTATGAAAGACGACAGATCGGAATGGCTTGTTGAGGTGGAGCAGGGGGGAGGTGAGCCCTCAGGGCTCTGTCTCGGAGGTTGGAATGGAACGGGCACTCCAACCCAAGATGGAACTGACAAGAAAGAGATTGAACATCAACACAGAACAGGCTACAAAATATGCAAATGCATGTGAATGGAAAATCTGAGTGTCTCTTTTTCCGGCGAATGTTTCTGCTGACTGTGAGTTGGCATTGTCTTCAGGCCGAGTTTAATTTAACGACGGGATGTTCTGAATCTACCAAGAACTAACAACAGACAAGAAGAGCGGCTTAAGTCGAGTTATGTTGCTCCGGAACTTGGAAGCGATTCTGCCACCAGATGCACTGTTTCTGTTGCCACTGCCTCGACCACTTCAACACTTTCCCAGCATCAGCAGGTTATAAAACTTCCGGAGGCTTCCCATCCTTTCTCCTCTCTTCCGTTTAAAACTTCTTCACAGTCCATTTACGTGTTTCTTTAATGCAGTTTGCTTTATCGCGTACCAATGTTCATAAAAAGTTTAAAACGCCACAGACTGAGATAGACAGACAGCCACGCGCAGGTTTATCTGCGGGCTCCTCTCATCTGCCCCGCAACTCAACATGAGAGAGTCCGAAGTGGATCGAAACAACTGGGCGTTTAAATTCTGTTCTGTGTCCACAAGGAAAACAAGAGAGCCTCTCGCATTTAAAAAAGACAAAGCCTCAAAGTTTCGCGGTGTTTCATGTTTGCCAAACACAACTCGCAGGTCGTCATATCCTACAAACATTAACAGCTCCAGTATTCCGTCGACTGTTACCGTCAGACAGAATGATGGATACGTATTACGTCTGAGCGGAATTCGGAAGGCACAGATCTGTGGACGATGCCCTCTCCCCTCCGGGCCTCAGGTAAGTGCCTCAAGAAGTCGAGGGTAGATGTTAATGCATACATCGAACAAGCAATGGCAGTGTCTGGTGGCGAGAAGAAATTCTCGAACTTGGACGGATTTCTTGGAAAGACATTTAGAAAGAAAACCAAAATTGAGATCAAGATTGTTGCCAGTGGAAAGGTCTTCCAGGGTACATGAAAGGAAAGGAACTGCTTGGCCAGCTGAGCGACTGGAATCTTCTGCTGCGTGTCGAATGACCTTGAAAAAATTACGAACGTGACTCTGCCAGCCGCAAAATTCGTGCTAGCGCCAACCCGACGTCACGCGCGGAACAAATAACTCTGTAAATCGGGTGCAAAGTCGCTCGGTGATCCGCGGTTGTACTCGCTGTTTAAGGGCGGTATCGCACTAGGATGCCATGGCAGCGACACCAACAGCGATGCCATGGCGTCCAGCTGCCAGAAAAAGACGCCAGACAAGCTGCCAGCTTTCGACGCCAGTCGAGCGAACAGATGGATTAACATTATGAGATCACGAAATGAAGGGCTATTAGCAAGGAGAAATGTCCACTTTTATCACTTTTGAGAAAATGAGATTTACCTTTATCAAAACTACATACTTGGAGTGAATTTCAATTCTGTAACAAAGAAATAAGTACAAAAAAATCTCCATACACACACTTTGCACGTCCATACCATTATTGAATTTGAAATATTTCAGTTCTTGCAAATCACATGTAATATTACATGAACAAACTTTATTTAATAAAACATTATAAAAGCAGGTTT